GCAATACAAAACAAGAGTACTGTCCGTTTTTTTTTTTTTTTGTTTTGTTTTGTTTTGTTTTTTGTTTTGTTTTTTTTAATGCGCACTAACATTTACATTTCCAGGACAAGCATTTGGGATGTCAAATAAGTACTGTTGGTACTATGGGCATCACATTTTCATAAACTATCCTAAAATAGAACTCCAAGCAAAATTAGAAAAAAGAAACATTCATAGTCTTGTGGGTGACCCAGGATTTAAATTTTTTTTATTTTTTTTTTTAAGTTCATTTCAAGAAAAAAAAACACACATTTCTAAAGTACATGCAAATTTCTCCATTCTTTTAAAGACCTTGGGATTATAGAAAGATGAGGAAAGAAAAAACAGAGGGGGCACAGGCCTAGTGCATTACCATAAAAAATAAAGTATGTGTTGTACTCACAAACGACAATATAGTCAACGCACATCATGATGGGCAGACATTTTGTCAGTTGGCTCTGAGGAAGAGGCAAGTCCTCGAAACGCGTCAGACTTTTGGATGTCTACACTCCCTATTGCGGACTGTTACTCAGCGCGGTGTTGACCCAGCTGTTCTTTGATGTGCCTTGACTATATTGTCGTTTTGTGAGTACAACACATACTTTATTTTTTATTAAACCTTTTTTATGGTAATGCACTAGGCCTGTGCGCCCTCTGTTTGTTCTTTCCTCATTCAGTATATTTGGATTTCCCTGGTCTGTTGAGGGCAGCAAGGTGTGCATGTTCCAGGACATTACTAATGTGGTTGTAGCCTGCATCGAGTCCATCCCCAAGCGCAGGAGCATTTGTGTTTGCTGATTATAGAAAGATATCTGTTGATCAGCCAGAAATGCAATCGGTTCCTATTTTCTTGTATTGGGTTGGCAACACAGCATTTTGTAGGATAAGTGGTGTCAGCCCTGCCCAGTAATCTTTTAGTAAAGTATGGTATCCCTCCCACTGTCCCTATTTCCAGGACATTGTGCGATAGAAACCTGTTCTCCCCTTGAAAAACCTACCATATTTCTTTTCCTAGGTCATATAGTGACCATTTTGAAATTACAATACCACCAAAACTGTTACAGCATTTTTTTGATTACCAAAGCCTATTTCAACTCCTAAAAAAAAAAATTATCGTAAAATACAATTTTCCAAGTTAAATACATTTTAAGGAAATTTTGCTTTGTGGTCCCCTCTCATAAAGGCTTGATTTCTGGCTTTTTTTTTTTTAAACTCTTCAACCAACTTAACCTACAACCCCTGTTTAAATGTTCCTACATAAAAAAAAAATGGGAAAGATTTTGGTAGAAAAGTTACCCATAGAAATATGGCAATCAAGGTCACAAGCCTCCGAGGTGTCTCTATACATTCTACAAAGAAAATTAATACAAAATATTTTTCTATTGATGCCAAGCCCCAGAACGTTTACATGATCTATATCCCACAGCCAACAACAGACTATGGCAATGCCAGAAAGAACTTGGCTCTTTATAGAATCAGTGCCTTGTTAAACCATATTAAAGAATGGTTCACTTACTGATCCATTGCATTGACATCTGGATCCCCTTTTAGTCCCAAAATTTACCATTTGGGCTTGCCCTCGAAAGATTTTGTTTTACCAACAAAAAAAAAACACATACTTCCGGCAGCAAGACTCTTTAGAAGTCCTCAAACTGAAAGGTGTTTGTCCCCCACCTCTCACGGAAGTACACATGAGGATCTGGGTTGTCAACTTGATAGAAAATCTCACCGCCCATCTCCACAACATCTCCCATCTCCTACATAACTTTGGCCACTTTACTCCCTTTGATCTGCCCATCATAAGAAGAACTTCAAAGAGCCATGAAACTGACCACCTGTAGCCTTCTCCTAGCTCACCTGGAGTTCTCTTCCACCCCTATACCTTTTTCCTGACTCAGTTCTCTCTATGTACTCAAGTGTTCACACACTTATGCCAATATCAACTTGAACTACTTAGACAGCTGTGCAAGAAACAAGATTAGCTATGAGGCATTGACAATAACTACACTAGACTTGCACCTAATTCCTTTTGATCTTTTTCTCAACTGAGGTTCCTCCAGAGTGCCGAACGAATGCGGGAAATAGTTTTGGCCTGAATCAGTGTCATGTGCTTTCATGGTGTGGGCAGGCTGCCCGCTAGCACCATTACAACCAACAAAGCTCTGGGGCCAGGATGCACGCTGACCCAGGGATGATGGCATGTAGGACCACACCTAGCATTCAAAAGAGGACCGAATTGCATCATTGACCAGACCTGCTTCTCCCATTTCCGGCCATACTACTGGAGATTTAAGGCAGGGCTTTGATGAAAGGAGGGGACTCTGTGATTGGGGGACTCTTAATGGGAAGGGGGGCTTCTTATATAATTGGGACTGTGAGGTAATGGGGAGACCTCCTGATGTGAAGTTCATTTCATCAAGGTGGTTGTGTGCTTTTGTTCCATACAGTTTTCATCAGAATATTTTTCTCCTACATTTTGCTTCCCTGTTGTTGTATTATCCTTCTAATGATCTTCAACTTCCTGACGTTATTTTGAGACAAGTCTCCTTTTGAGGCATTGTATACTGTGACTGTACAACATTCAATGTGTAAAATGCTTGATTCTATACTTTTACATGTCTAGAGACACGTATTATACATGGAGATCATATCCCCCTTATGTATTCTACATGGAGATCATATCCCCCCTTATGTATTATACATGGAGATCATATCCCCCCCCTTATGTATTATACATGGAGATCATATCCCCCCCCTTATGTATTATACATGGAGATCATATCCCCCCTTATGTATTATACATGGAGATCATATCCCCCCTTATGTATTATACATGGAGATCATATCCCCCCTTATGTATTATACATGGAGATCATATCCCCCCTTATGTATTATACATGGAGATCATATCCCCCTTATGTATTATACATGGTGATCATATCCCCCCCCCTTATGTATTATACATGGAGATCATATACCCCCCTTATGTATTATACATGGAGATCATATACCCCCCTTTTGTATTATACATGGAGATCATATCCCCCCTTATGTATTATACATGGAGATCATATCCCCCCTTATGTATTATACATGGAGATCATATCCCCCTTATGTATTATACATGGTGATCATATCCCCCTTATGTATTATACATGGTGATCATATCCCCCCTTATGTATTATACATGGAGATCATATCCCCCCTTATGTATTATACATGGAGATCATATCCCCCCTTATGTATTATACATGGAGATCATATCCCCCTTGTGTATTATACATGGAGATCATATTCATCCCCTTGTGTATTATACATGGTGATCATATCCCCCCCTTATGTATTATACATGGAGATCATATCCCCCCTTATGTATTATACGTGGAGATCATATCCCGTGTATTATACGTGGAGATCATATCCCCCCTTAATCTCCTCTTTTCAAGAGAGAATAAATCTAATTCCTCTAATCTTTCCTCATAGCTGATCTCCTCCATGCCTCTTATCAGTTTGGTTGCCCTTCTCTGTACTTTCTCCAGTTCCCCAATGTTCTTTTTGTGAATTTGTGCCCAAAACTGAACTGCATATTCCAGATGAGGTGTTACTAATTGATTTGTACCGGGGTAATATGATATCTCTCTCTGGAGTCTATACCTCTTTTATGATGAGAGGATTTTGCCTAAATGGTTGGGCTACTTTAACGCATTGAATATTAAAATACGTTCATTTGATTGTAAGCTCTTGTCTTGATTTGCATTGCAACTGTACGGTTTCCCTATATATTGTAAAGCACTGCGTGACCTGTTACCATTTATATAGGCCAGCCTTTTTCAACCCTCTTAACACAGAGGAACCCTTGAAATAATTTTCTGGTCAAAGGGAACCCCTACTAATTATTACAATATCTACAACTCATGAGACACTAGTGTGGTGGTCCGTGAGAAGCATGCTCCTTACACATGTGGTCACTGAGAAGAATTACCCCCTTCCTGAAAGTTAAAAAGATCAATGGTGTCAGTGGGAAGTTTAATGACCTGCAGAAATTGCTCATTGCTCAAGCAAACCCCTGGAGGAACCCTGGTACAGACTCTGTAAAATAGTACATTAACGAGCACCTCAACATAAAACCATAGGTGGTTTTGTAACCTAGATCTTCAGCTTTTTCTCCTGTAGGTCTTGATAGAAAAGGTTGCACTAATAATACTTGCTAATTAAACAAACTTGGTAATTGTCCAGACTTCTCCACCTCCCCCGCCTGTTTTAATCTGACCCCCCAGGAGCTTTCTACACATGAAGGCGGCTGTTTCAGGAGCTTAATGGGCTTCCAGTGGAGACACAGGTGCAGGAACCAGATGTGCTGGTGGTCCTGTCATTGTCTGAGCTGTGCCCCTAAATAAAATTGGTAAGGAAGCCTCAATAAGCCAGGAAATGACCAAGTCACACACACTTGTTGTCTCTGCGCTGGAGGTCAGCTGTTCACACTCCCAGAAACACGATCTTTCCTCTCCAAAACGAGCCCATTAACCATCCAGCAGCAAACCTTCAAGCCTGGATACAACAAACGGATGATCTAACCAGAGCGTATGCTCGGACGCTGCTGGCTGTGTTCTAATTAGCTGCACATGTTCTCCCAGAGGCCATTGCTGCTGGGGCACACCGCTGTTTCTCCAAGAGGAAGAAAAGTTACTTTGTATCGGTTTAAGGCCACACCGCCATCCAAAGAGTTTCTTACAATTCTCACAGCGAATTTCTGAATTTATTTAAGGGCTGATTCACACCGCATGGCAACACCATGGCATGGAACAAAGGTGTTGGTATAATGCATTGTAGCACTCCCGTGTGTTGTTTTTTTTTTGTTTTTGTTTTTGTTTTTTTTTTTTACCTCCATTAATTTTATGTGCTGCATTGCAACATGTTGTACTTTTACTGTTTACAGGGGACAGCTTTGCTCTCAGTGGCTCCCGGCTCTAACAGATCCCTGCATGTACTCACGGCGGGGCATGGTGGAGACACGTCTCAAGAATCTGAGAGAGAGATTGATCTCCCTGCAAGGTGAGGTACTAGAGCTGAAAACACAGGTAGTAGAGCTGGGACAGAGATGCAAGAAAGATTGGGGTGGGGTTGTGCATAATGCATCCGAAACTCTGCACACCCCTGAACTCTGTAGGGCGGCACAGTGGCTAAATGGTTAGCACTTCCGCCTGGCAGTTCTAGGGTCGTTGGTTCAAATCCCAACCACAGCACCACCTGCCTGGAGTTTGCATGTTCTCCCTGTGCCTGCGTGGGTTTCCTCCGGGTACTCTGGTTTTCTTCCACGCTCCAAAGACATGCTGGTAGATTAATTGGCTCCTGTCTAAATTGGCCCTAGTATGTGTATGTATGAATGTGAGTTAGGGACCTTAGATTATACGCCCCTTGAGGGGTAGGGACTGATGTGAATGTACTATATATATATATATATATATATATATATAAGCGCTGCGTAAATTGATGGTGCCATATAAGTACCTATAATAAATAACTGTACAGAACACATTCCTGAACTCTGTACACTGTAAATAACTCACTCCTGAACTCTGCACTCTGCGCGTAACGACCCCTGAAACCTGCGCGTAACGCGCCCCTGAACTCTGCGCGTAACGCGCCCCTGAACTCTGCATTGTGCAAGCAACCAGCCCTTTGAGGGCAACCATACTGCTGATGTGACCTACGATGATATTGACGCCCATTGCGGTAGACCAGTGTTTTTCAACCTTTTTGTCAAAGCACACTTAAAAGTTTTGTATAGTCTCGAGGCACCCCATTCTAAAGCATCAAGAACTAAATGAATAGTTTTACATAATGCAGCAGTACCCACACACATTGGACACCCAACATTTAGGTGTTTATTTTATATTTTTTTTATAATCTACTTTTTGCACACTTTGGTACTGACTGGTATTCCATCATTTTTCTCAATCACTCAGCAAACATGACCCCAGTGCTGATGGCGATGGACAGGAGAGGGACAAATGAGGATGCTGTACAGGCACTCAATGGTCCTCCATATCAATCAATGACATGACCGATTGTTAGGATGCCAGCAGCTGGCCAGCACAGTGCCCAAGGCTGTAATTCTGCACAATGAGAACCTATGACTGTGTGTAAGAAAAAGGCAGACTTGATCCACCTGCTGGCTTGTAATTGGGCAATTTGGGGCAATGTTTTTAGGTACTTTTGCCAAGCATCTCTGAAGAACCTAGAAGGCACCAAGGCTTGCTCTAGACCACGGCCTGGGTGGCCCATTGTTGAATCCAACTCTGGCTCACCATAAATTCAAGTTATGACATGAGAATAGTCATTTTATTGGTCTAGTGTGACATCTGGACTTTTTTTTATTCTCTCTACATGGAATTAGAGTTTTTATTTTCCTACTGTCCAGGCTTTCTACAACGACGTCATTGGGTGATAAATTCCTGTTCCTTCATGTGGCACAATTTTAGCACCAGGGTAGTTGACATGAAATGGAATTATTGATCCCAAGAGCTGTCATTTTATCAAATTTCTTTCTGTGTGACAGGCCACATTTTTTTAAGTGGACACATTGGGGACAGTAAGTGTTGTATGTAACCCAGTGTTTTTTTTTTTTTTTTTTTAACCATCTCTGTGCTTGAGAAATGTAACACAATGGAAGCACAAATAACTCTGGATTGGATGAATTCCCCTTCAATCCCTATGAATGTCTAAAAACATGAATAAATGAAAAAAATTATGAAAATGAAAAAAAGTAATGGCAACTACTGTTACTTTTTTTTTTTTTTTTTTTTTTTTTTTTGTACAGTCTGTTCATTTAATCACCTTTTTATTGAGCATGGCTACATGGGTGTATACTGTTTTTGTATTCTGTTCAGGTATGTCCTATGTAATTTTATCCACTGATGTTCAAGCCTATTCACAATACATGCATAGCTAAATATGTGAGCGTAGGGTCACACCACCCCCCTCTGCTAGAAGGTAAGGACCTGCATGGATTTTTGATTAGACCAAGGCAGAAGACCCAAAAAAGTAGTGCTGGGCAATCATGCTCTGCCACCTAAACATGTATTATTATTATACAGGATTTATATAGCACCAACCGTTTGCTCAGCGCTTTACAATATAAAGGGAGACAATACAGTTCAATACAAGAGGGATAGGAGGGCCCTGGTCCTTGGAGCTTACAATCTAAGAGGGAGGGGCTGGTGGTACAAAAGGTAATAACTGTGGGGAATGGACTGGTAGGAATAGAAGATTCCATTATTAGCTGAGGGCAGGATAGGCTTCCCTGAAGAGAGGTTTTCAGAGATCGCCTAAAAGTGGGCAGAGTAAGCAATAGTCTGATAGATTGGGGTAGAGAGTTCCAGAGGATGGAGGAGGCTCTGGAGAAGTCCTGGAGACAAGCATAGGAGGAGACTAGGGAGATAGAGAGCGGGAGGTCGTGCGAGGAGCGGAGAGTACAGTTTGGGTGATATTTGGAGACAAGATCGGTGATGTAATTTGGGGCAGTGTTTATAAATAGCTTTATATGTTATTCTTAATGTTTTTAATTTGATCCGTTGGGCAATGGGAAGCCAGTGGAGGGATTGGCAGAGAGGGGTGGAGGACAGTGAGTGGAGGTCAGTGGAGGGATTGGCAGAGAGGGGTGGAGGGCACTGAGTGGAGGCCAGTGGAGGGATTGGCAGAGAGGGATGGAGGACACTGAGTGGAGGCCAGTGGGGATTGGCAGAGAGGGGTGGCAGATATGGAACGGTTAGTAAGGTGGATGAGTCTGACAGCAGAATTCATGATAGAAGAGGGGATTAAATGCATCTCCTGAAGGTTTTTTGTCATCCAAGCCATGTGATATCTAGTGGTAATAAAATATTACATTTTTTTTTTTTTCTTTGATGCAGGGTTCCCTAGACTTTTCCCCCAAAGGCCACATTAGCTTGCTGCAAGAGTTTGTGGCCCATGAAACATGTTCTGTGTTCTCTTCATATATTTCCATGGTGCAGGTGGGTCAGCCACCAGCATCATAACCAGTGATGCTGAGCAACCAGGGGACATGGCGTCATTTATTGCTTTGGTGCTGGCGTCCAACCCAACCTCAATATGGAAGCACATGACTCTGATCAAGGGCGGCGTCATGCAGGGCCACACCAGCATTCAGAAAAAGACCTGATCACCTCCCTCCCTCCATCTAGACCAGCTCTGCCTCCCACCCTGTACTATGCTGCCACCATAGTGAAGATTGTAAGGGAGGATAAGAGGACTCAGAACTCTTATTTGAAAGGGGGGGGCCTTCTGATGTGAAATGGGGCTCTGATGTCATGTGGGATTCTGAGGTGCTGGGGGGCTTCTGATGTATTATTTCTTGGAACTTATAAAAAACAGATTGATTATATTTATATATATATATATATATATATATATATATATATATAAATAATTTTATTTTTTAATAATGTGGTCCTAGTACTGGAACTGGAAAATTTGGAGAACCCTATATTGGTGTATGGCCAGTTTAGGGCCTTTATGGGCTGACGCTTGTGGGTTTTTTTGTGGGATTTTTTTTATGTCACTTATAATTTTTAATGAAGGTCATCTCAGAGGATTGAAGCACATCCCGGCACCTTTTGCTTCTGATTTTACTTTCATGGGGAGGAGACGCCTTTCCGTCACTGGGAGTTTAAATGCTAAGCTTTATCTGTAGTGTTGTACTGGCTCTATTGGATTTATAGCCTTGTTCTCATGTGGATTGCTGCTCCTTCAGTGTTCCTGTGGATTTATCTGCAATTTTCAATAGATTTATGGGGAGCGTTTATCTCCCTCCTCCTATAAATCGACATTTCAATTCATTATCGAGTAGCACGTACAGATTTTAAGCAGCACGCAGCAGCAGTTGGACACCGCGTCCTGAGATTCCTTACCTGCCAGGCTCCTGGCACTTGGCTATCCACCTTTTTTTTTTTGAGTATGCAGACTATAGAATCTGCACTCCAAACTGACTTTGACTTCTACAAGAATTTGGTAATCAATGAGATTAAAATCTGGTGGGATTTTACAAGCCTGAAAAGGATATCCGTGAATCTATAATACAGAGAGTGTTAAGAATATACCTTTTTCAGTGTGTATTCAGACCAGCTTGATTCAGATTGGAATTCTGTTTTTGTCTCAATGTTCTTTGGATTTGATGGGTCTGACTACAGTATGAAGAGCACACACTTTTAAAAATCTGATGATAAATGGAGGACCACAATCCCAGTCTCCGTAAGAACCATTATCAATACATTAGTAATATTTTGAACACCTTGAACAGGATTTATGTAAGGAAGAAACTTCTTCCACTAGGCATGAAGAGTACTACCAGGATGTTCAATATTTTGAAGAACTCTATGAATATGGACTAAGAACTAGTAGGTATAGGAAAACCAACCTATTCCATTCTGAAAAGGCAACACGAATGGATAGCTTTTCAGTTCGAGGTTGTACAATCAGAAATGTCAGATACAATTGATTCTAGAGGATCAGTTACCTTGAGAGTTGAGAGACTTGATTTTATCCTGTTTTTCTTTGATGCATCAAAAAACTAAAGCAGAGTCTTATTTAAAATGCCAAAAAAAAAAGAATAAAACCGAGACAAATTCTACATTACTCAGAGGAAACGGCAGTGGAGGGATGGAAGAAAACATCTCAGAAAACAAATGTTCTCTTTAACGGAAGAAGAGTTCCAAGAAATGATTCATAATGTGATCAGTTCTTCAGATGTGACTTTAACTAATGAGCACATTTCTCTTCTTTCTAGGGGTCTTTTTTTCACCAGCTTATCACTTCGATGTATTTAATGCCATATGTGATGTGAATAGGTTTGTGGGTAACTTATGCAGGCCATAGATGGGGAGAAAAACGGCAGATTTTCGGCCGCCGATTAACGAACTATCGGTCGTCGGTCTAAAAAACTTACCTGACCACCACCAATTATTACGAAAATCGGCCGATTAATGAGTAACCTATAACGGGAAATGATGTCATTTTGTGGCCTTTGTGATCCTTTT